GAAGGCTGAGGCGGAAAGATCGCCGGAGCCCAGCAGGTCGAGGCTGCGGTGGCCGGGAGCGACCACTGCACTCCAGTCTGGACGACAGAGTGAGACTCCAACTCAAAAAAAAAAAAAGAATTGTTTAATCAAGTTTTATTACATGCTAACTAAGATGGTATGGGAAGATACCTACTTTTCTTAGTCTGACAACAATAGGTCCATTAAATCATGTGTCACCATTCACATCCCAGATAATGCTACTCACCTTTGGCCTATAATTAAGTAAATATCATTACTGAGATTTGGGCATTAGATAATATGCAGTCCTTTCAATCTCCTCCAATAAGTCAACAACTATACACCCAACCACAAGGAATAAATTTAGCCAAAAAATTCTGTATATGATTTTGTTCAAAAAAATTTGAAAATGATCACCATATAGGTCAATACTTTTCTGGTTATCACCTTTGTATAATTGGTAGTCAAATGCTAGGTGAGATATATGGACTGTAGATAAACTGAAGTTTCTTTTGGAATCTTGTAATTTCAGTGCCGTAAGATAAATTTGTCTCCCATGAGACCATTACAATTCTTAATAACTCTTTAAAGTAATGTCTGGTTTGTATAAGTGAAAAAAAAAATTTGAAAGGTTCTGAAAGAATATTAAAAGATTAATCTTTTAAACAAAATTGCCAAATGGTGACAAAATGTTGTGCATGGCCTGATCAACAACAAAAAATTCCAGTTAACATTATATTACTCTATTAATCAACTAAAGGGTAAGAGAGCAGTGCAGCAATATGATTATAAATTTTTTATTTTATTTTTTGTTGTTGAAACCTCACTTTCTTGTACAGGCTGGAGTGCAGTGGCACACTCATGACCACCCCAGCCTCGACCTGCTGGACTCCAGTGATCCTTCCATCTCAGGTTTCCAAGTAGATGGAACTACAGGCATGCGCTGCCATGCCCAGCTAATTTTTGATTTATTTTTGAGATGAGGGCTCACAAATTTGCCCGGGCTGATCTCGAACCTTGCCCAATCCACTTGCCTCAGCCTCCCAAAGTGCTGGAATTAAAGGCTAAGCCACCAAGCCTGACCAATAGCAAATTTTAAAAAGATTATGTGGTATTTGCTGCAATATGAGCTCTGTTTCTTAAGAACTCAAAATTTGGGTAACTCTAGAAATTAGAAGCCAATGATTATAATTTTATCGAAAGATGCTAGAGTTATCAGTTCCTATTTTCTTTTGTTTTGGATAATGGGGTGGTGCCAAAAAAATGTATACACATTTTACAAGATGTTATATATGTATTATTTTTCAAAGTTGAATTGAATTATGGTAGCAATGTGTAATTGCCGAAGTCAAACATGATTTGTATTAATCTTTTGTTGTCAGTATATTTTGTGTATTATAATTTTAATACAGTTTTTTTCCTTTCTTAAAATGTATGTGCTGGCACCCTCTATATATGAAACTATGTGAGACAATTAGGAGAGGTCTCTATGAAGTGTTTCTTTTTTTTGTTGTTGTTGAGTTGGAGTCATTCTGTCACCCAGACTGGAGTGCAGTGGCCACTCCTGGCCACCGCAGCCTCGACCTGCTGGGCTCCAGCGATCCTTCTGCCTCAGCCTTCCAAGTAGCTGGAACTACAGGCGCATGCTACCACGACTGGCTAATTTTCTTTTTTTTTTTTTATTGCAGAGATGAGGTCTTGCCAAGTTGCCCAGGAGGGTTTTGAACCCGCAGGTTCAGGCAATCTTCTAAAGCAAGACTACAGGAAACTGACGAGACAGGGAGGGCTGTTAAATCAGAAAGAGATGATAGTGGCTTGCTGAGGAGGATTGTTGCCCATTAGAACAGACACATCTCTTAGAAACGACAAAAATATAATGTTGACTTGGGAAATAAGTTTGGGTCAATTATTATCATAACTTGGCTTTAGTAACATTTCTTATCAAGAGAGTTGTTTAGTTTACATTGGTGTTTGTTATTGTTTGTCTTCTTTGTGGGAAGGGAAACGGTAATATGCAGGGTTTCCCAAGCCTGACCAATGACAAAACTCAACAAGAAAATCATAAACATGCAGATTCCCAGAATTCTCTCCTGGCAGTACCATCCCTTTTACCTGAGGTCAGCCTGGGGAATTTGTATTTTTAACAAGAGTGTTTGTTGATTCTCAACACTGAACAGTTTGGAGAAATGTCGACTTACTTTTATGTGTGATGTGTTTGGAGTGTTCAAAATAGGGGAGCGAATTGATAGTCCCCGTGGCATTTACTATTGGAAGTTACAATATAAGGCCTTAAACAGCATTTAGATGGAGTTGATGCATACCAAAATGGCCAGTGCTTTGACTTTCTCAAAACCCAGGTTTTAGGTAAAGTGATTGAACTTTCCAGGAAGAGAAACCAGACTTTAGTGAACGCTATAACAGGAATGTTACTTTTCCCTTGTGCTTTGTCCTTGTCTCTTGTAAGACATTTATTGTGCCCTTGGTTTTTAAATTTTTTGAAAGTGTTGTAGTTTTCCAGAGGCAACCTTCTCATTTCTTCTCATTTCTTACTTACATCTCCGTATTTCCTTCTTTTTTACTGATGGTGTCCCACAAGCATCTTGGTAACTATCTTTGCTGCCTCTGCCTTCAATACAGAGAACAGAAGAGAGAGTCTATATTATCCAGTTTGCAGTAAGCACTCATTTTATTATTATTATTATTATTATTGAGTCAAGGGTCTCATTCTGTCACCCAGGCTTTAGTGCAGTGACACAATCACACCTCACCCCAATCCTTTTGGGCTCAGGTGATCCTTCTGCCTCAGCCCCCAGAGTAGCTGGGACTACAAGCACACCACCACACCTAGCTCATTTTTAAATTTGTGTTTCCTAGGCTGCTCTTGAACTCCTGTGCTTAAGCAATTCTCCTAACTCGGCCTCCCAAAGTGCTGGGATTACAGGTGTACATGCCTTTTTAGATGCACAGTTGTGACATTTATCAGTCTTCCTTAGCCAATGCTAAGATAGTATTCAAAAGTTTTTTTTTATCAATTTCCTCCCATACTTAGTTCTTATTTAGCAAACACTTGAAAAATAATAAATCATTATCTCACCACAGTGTCCGAATCAACTTTTTTTCTCTCTCAGTAAGTTTCTGCTGAGATTTGCTAGTCCCGTTGCTCCAATATCTCCTTGAAGGATACACACAAAAGGAAAAACAAATTATTTCTGTGGATATTATAAATCAGAATAGTGGTCCATAAAAGCTTCGTGTACTTGTGCAGCTCTGACTTATTAAGTAAAGCTGGGAATGTTGAAGTATAAAAGAAACAATGTGTCTGTCTCTCCGAGACAAGCTTCAGAGATGAAAGGCAAAAATATAAGATGTAGGTTACATCTGAACTGATCATCCTTTTGAAATCTTCCACACTAATATTCTCCACCTGGGAACTTTGGCTGCGCTAAATATAACATATGTTTTGTTGGTGAGGTTTTAATATAAATAAGTGCTAGTTTTCATCAGAATACAGAAAGGGATCTGCCCAGAAACCTTGGAATTAGATACCATTATGACTCATACATTTCTGCCTTTGACAATTCTGTCTTAATGTCAGACATTTGGTGATTAATTTCAGATTTGTCATTTTCTACATTTGCATAAGGTCCAGCCAGACTGCCTATGCAAATGCTTTTTGTTAATTAAATTTGATTGTATTGCCTGTACTGGGTATAGAAATTGTATTTACAATAAATATTTCCAATAGAAATTAAGTATGGTGCAAATATTACTATAATAATGAGAATCATATGAGAAGGTCTACTCTTTCCTCTGCTTCCAAAAAAAAAGAGATCAAGAGAAGAGTCTAAATTTTTGGTGCATAGACATAAATCACATTTTTTAGTGACGGGAATATAAAATATTATTTTTGCCTCCAATAATTTCAAATCATATCAATGAATCTCTTTTGGAAAAGAAAAAGTATCCTATATTCAACTGCTGGCTATTAATTATAGATAAAATTTGCATAATTTAAGATACTTGTTTTAGTCAACTTGATGATCTTTTGGGGGAATTGGGAAACTAAAAATTAAAAGAACTTGTCTACAAGTTTTGAGCCATAATTTTTATTTTTTTATTTTTAATTTTTATCTTTTTGAATTGGAGTCTCACTCTCTTGCCCAGGCTGGAGTGCAGTGACACGCTCATGGCCACCACAGCCTTGACCTTCTGAGTTCAAGTGATCCTTCCACCTCAGCCTTCCAAGTAGCCGGAACTACAGGTACACGCTACCATGCCCGGCTAATTTTTTGATTTATTGTAGAAAGGAAGTCTTGTGAAGTTTCCCAGGCTGTTCTCGAACCCATGAGCTCAGGTAAACCTCTCACCTCGGCCTCCGAAAGTGCTGGGATTACAGGCTTGAGCCACTGCGCCTGGCCAAACCATAATTGTTAAAATTAATTGATAATTATAGAGGGGTGGAACCTGTATTTGTTTTCTATGACCGCATAACAAATTATTACAAACTTAGTAGCTGAAAACTACATCCATTTATTATCTCAGAGTTCTGTAGGTCAAAAACCAAAGCAGTCTTGGCTGAACACTCTGTTTAGGGCACCACATGGCTGAGATTACGGTGTGAGCTGGCCTAGGTTCTTATCTGAATGCTCTGGGGGAAAAAATCTGCTTTCAGTTCATTCAGGTCATAGGCATAATTTAGCTCCAAGCATTTATTAGGCTGAGGTTCCTGTTTCCTTGCTCACTGTTGGCCAGAGGTTATCCTCAACTTCTAGAGGGCACCTGCATTCCTTGGCTTGTGGCCCCCTCCACCTTCAGAGCTAGCTCTGACATGTAGAATCCTTCCAGTGCTTTCAGTCTCCCTACCTTCCCCTTCTGTCATCCTCTTCTACCTTTTTTCTTTGGTGTCTCACTCTGTCACCCAGGCTGCTCCCGGCCACCGCAGACTTGACCTGCTGGGCTCCAGCGATCCTTCCGCCTCAGCCTTCCAAGTAGCTGGAACTTCAGGCCCGCGCTACCACACCTGGCCTATTTTTTTTTATTTATTGTAAAGATGAGGTCTCGCCAAGTTGCCTGGGCAGGTCTTGAACCCGCGGGCTCAAGCAATCCACTCACCTCAGCCTCCCAAAGGTGCAGGATTACAGGCTGAGCCACCGAGCCCAGCTGTCTTCTATCTTTTAAAGGGCTCCTTTAATTAGATCAAGTCTACATGGTAAGCACCATTGATTAAAATCACCAGCATGGGACTTGAGTTACAACTGCCAGATTCCCTCACAGAAGTGCCCAGAATGGTGTTTGACTGACCAAGTAATAGGAACCTTGGGGACCATCACCAGAATTCTCTGTTACCAGAGAACCCTTGTAATACAGCTACCTGAAGGCTATCTTCATCTTGGTGAAAAGCAAACTGCCTGTGAATTCTAGTCTTGCAGATACAAATTTCATTAATTACCAGCAAGTATCATGAAATGCAGTACTGAAAAGGAACGTAGAAAAGTCTAAAGTGCTTTATTAAACCACAGATTTGAAGTAAGTTGCATCTGATGAGGAATAAAGAAGAGAATATTATTACTTCCATTAACCAGAACATTTGAATTCTCTAAACTATTCAAGTGACTTGAATGATTACAATATTGCATTTCAAAATCCACCAACCTAAAACTGTCCGATCTAGAATTATGGGAAGAATTGCAGCTGTAGGAAAAAAATGTGGCATATCAATTATAGGAATACATATTTTTTTAATTGAGTTTCTATAAAGGTACACGTGATTCTTAGAAATGTATGTCTCATTAAGACATTTCTATAACAATGTAATAGAAAATTATTTTTTATAAAATAAACTCATTATTCTTTTTTATTTAATGTATGTAATTTGATTTTTCTTTTTTGTTTGTTTGGTTTTTTTGTTTTTGTTTTTGTTTTCATTAATCAGTATTTTTTATTATGCTTTTGTGGGGTACAGTTAAGGGTTAGGTGTACAATGACGTTTCATTCAGGCCCCTGTAGATAAGAAGTGTTTTCCCATCCCCCGACAGATATTTGCTACTGTTAATCCCATCCCCCTCCCCCCCATAGTTTCCCAGTACCATCCGTCATTTTCTCATAGTATTGCATTGGATGTTCAAGGTCCATTATATGAGTGAGAACATGTGATATTCAGATTTTTGTTTTTGTGAGAGGTCACTCAGTATTATAGACTCTAGTTCCATCCAGGTTGCAGCGAAATTCATGATTTTGTTCTTTTTTATGGCTGCGTAGTATTCCATCGTGTATATGTACCACATTTTTTTAATCTAGTCCTCTTTTGATGGGCAGCATGGTTGTTTCCAGGTTCTTGCTATTGTGAACAACGCTGCGATAAACATATGTGTGCAGGTATCTTTTTTATAGAGTGATTTGTGTTCTTCAGGGTATATTCCCAGTAGGGGGATTGCAGGCTCATATGGAAGGTCAATTTTTAGAGCTTTTAGGAATCGCCACACTGCTTTCCACAGAGGTTGCACTAGTTTACACTCCCACCAACAGTGTAGAAGTGTTCCCTTTTCACCACACCCTCTCCAGCAGCTGTTATTTTTTGAGTTGTTGATAATTGCCATTCTGACTGGAGTTAGGTGGTATCTCAGTGTGGTTTTGATTTGCATCTCCCTGATGATTAGTGAGGTTGAGCATTTCTTCATGTGTTTGTTGGCTGCTCAAATGTCTTCTTTTGTGAAGTGTCTGTTCATATCTTTTGCCCATTTTATAATGGGGTTGTTTGTTTTCTTCTTTTCAGTACGTTTCAGTTCCTTGTAGATCCAGGATGTTAAGCCTTTGTCAGACCTAGAGTTGGCAAATACTTTTTCCCAGTCTGTAGGCTGTCTCCCTGCTCTCTTGATGGTTTCTTTGGCTTTGCAGAAGCTTGTCAGTTTAATAAGGTCCCATTTGTCTATCTTCTCTCTTAAGTCCTGTGGGTTTCGGGTTTTGTACAGGAATTGGATGCCAGTTCCGATTTCCATGAGAGTATTTCCTTCCTTTTCTAAGGTTCTTATGGTTTGAGGTTTTACATTTAGGTCTCTGATCCATTTGGAGTTAACCTTTGTGCATGGGGATAGATAGGGGTCCTGTTTCAATCTTCTGCATGTGGTAGCCAATTTTCCCAGCACCATTTACTGAATAGGTTCTCCTCTCCCCATTGGTAGGTGGTGGGGGCTTTGTCGAAGATGAGTTGGTTGAGAAATTGAGGTTTTGCTTCTGGAATCGCAATTCTGTTCCATTGATCTATATGCCTGTTCCTGTACCAATACCAAGCTGTTTTGATGATTGTAGCTTTATAGTAAAGTTTGAAATCTGGTATTGTGATACCATCTGCTTTGTTTTTTTTTTTTGCTGAGGATTGTTCTGGCTATTCTTGGACGTTTGTGTTTCCATATGAATTCCTGTGTTGTTTTTTCTAGGTCTGAGAAGAATGTTGTTGGTAATTTAATGGGTATTGCATTGAATTTGTAGATTGCCTTAGGTAAGATGGACATCTTCACAATGTTGATTCTTCCGATCCATGAGCATGGGATATTTTTCCACTTGTTCGTGTCATCTTTGATTTCTTTGAGCAGTGTCTTGTAATTTTCATTGTAAAGGTCTTTCACATCTCTGGTTAGGAAGATGCCAAGGTATTTCATTTTTTTTGTGGCTATTGTGAATGGAGCTGTGTTTTTTATTTGGGTTTCTGTTTGTTTATTATTGGTGTAGAGAAATGCGATTGTCTTTTGTACATTTATTTTGTATCCTGAGACTTTGCCAAAGTCTTTTATCAATGTAAGGAGGGCTTTGACAGATTCTCTTGGGTTTTCAAGGTACACCATCATATCATCTGCATGGAGGATAACTTGACATCCTCTTATCCTATTTGAATACCTCTGATTGCCTCCTCTTCTCTGATTGCTCTAGCCAGGACTTCCAATACTATATTGAACAGGAGGGGAGAGAATGGGCAGCCTTGTCTAGTTCCAGTTTTCAGGGGAATTGATTCCAATTTTTATCCATTTAGGAGTATGCTGGCTGTAGGTTTCTCATAGATGGCTTTTACTATTTTGAGGTATGTTCCCTGTATGCCTAGATGTTCAAGGGTTTTTATCAAGAAGGGATGCTGGATTTTATCAAAAGCTTTTTCTGCATCTAATGATATGATCATGTGGTTTT